TTCCCTCTCTGTTCAAATTTAAATCAACCAAAATTAAAAAATAATAAAATAAAAAAAGATGATAAATCAACCAAAATTAAAAAATAATAAAATAAAAAAAGAAGATGAGATTTCTGTGTTATATCTGTGTTGTGCTTCTTGGTAGCCTTGAAAAAAAAAAGACACATTGTGCTAAAGTAAAAATTAATTATATTCCATAAACTCAACTCTGTCAACTAAACAGACATTACTTGTTTGAGACGAGTTATAAAGTTTGCAGTCAGAATTTTGAAAGAATTCTATAAGGTGGATCTTGGGGGTACTCAATTCTGAGGCCTCCCTCATCTACTGCCTTCTATGCATGGGAGCCCCTCCTTGGAAAGAGAATATGATGCCCACTGCTTGATTATCAAGAGATTAGGGTTAATTCACCAGATTGCATTTCATGGGCATAACCAGGATTATGCAGGACAATGGGCTTATGGATGATACCTCAAGAGTTGTCTTACATGCTGCAAACAAGTTCATGCCTCATTATGCATTAGGCTTAGCATGACTTTAACACTACCTATTGGTGCCAGCCCTGGCTGCTGACTGATATGCCCCTGGGGATATTCCCACCTTGAAGGGTGTTTCATGTCTCTAGCACCTTCCTTCCCAGCTGCAGTGTGTAGGCTATCATGAACAGTCTGTCAAAGTCCTGAGCTTCACCACACTCCCTTCCTCCTACTTCTCCACCTTTGCCTAGAGGCATATGGCTCATTTGCACCTCTGGGTGGCGACTGTAAAATGCCTGGCTAAGTGAGTGGCACATCAGTTCTCTATATGGATTTTACCCTGGGAAAATCTCAGAAAATCCTGGGAAAATTTACCTTGGGAAAAACTAGTGAAGGAAGAAATGCCTTCCATTACTACCATTGCTCTAATTATTTTGCATAAAACTTTCTGTAGGTGATGATTTGTTAGCATAATTATTTTTTGAGAGGTTTTTGCATTAGAGTGCTTTTTTGGGGGGATGGGGACAGAGACAATGGGAGGGAAAGTGAGAAATCACCCCCTGGGGAGATGGCCATGCTGCAGTCCCTTCTCTTCCATTCTCCTCCCGGGATCTTGGGCACACACGCACATGCATCCCGTGTGATTTTCAAGCCACTAGGTCTGGGACTTGAACTATGGTTTGCCATGTGGGAGTTTGGCAATGTAATCACTATGCCATCTGCTGGCCCCAGGTTAGCATAATTTTTATTCAATATTTTTTGAATAGGGTAACCACATCTTAATCATCTAGACTGGGGTACCTGTAAGAGTGAAAGGGATACCTTTTCCTAAGTATGATGGAACAAGTGTAGGCTCTGATCATTCTGGGTAAACCAGGACGTATGGTTATTCTCCTTGTGAAACAGATGAATAGAACAAGGAGGACACAGGAAACAGAGTTCAAACTGACCCCTGCTGACCAAATATGAACAAAAAGTAACTTATTGTTGTGAACTAAGATTTTGAGGTTTTGTTATCATAACAACCTAGCAAAAGCTGACTAATACAATCCCTTATTGCTGTGTAACTTCTTTGTTACCATCTCTATAAAATGGGGGTAACTTAAGAGTACCCTATCATTGGGTGGAAGTGAAAACTGAGTTAATATATATGAAGCACTTAGAACAATGCCTGGCACATAATGAATAGTCAGTAAATGTTAACTAATAGCTGGCTGGCAGGTAGCGTAGTGGTTAAGGTGCTAGACTCTCACATGGCCAACTATTGTACAAATCCCGGATCTGGTGGCTTGCTTTCTCACTTTCTCTGTCTCTGTCTAGTCAAATTAAATAATAATAAATAAAATTAAATAATTGTTTTTGAAAGGTTAGCTACCCTTATTAATTATAATAATAACGTAGAATAAAAGAAACACTCTAAGAGCACAGTGAAGTCAAATTTTAAGCAGAACGTATTACTCAGGAATGGCGAAAAAGTACTCAGGAATGGCAAAAAAGTCGACCCACTCTCTTGCTCCCACCACAGCAGCTGTTTGCCCTTTTAGAGATCCCCAGTCCCTTTACCCCTCTTCGTCAATCTGTTAGCCCACTCCTACCTAGGTCTTTCCCTGATTCTTTTTTTTTTTTTTGGAGAGATTTTCGCTATAGTGCGTGTGCACTCGCCAGACAGACAGAGAGAGACATAGAAACAGAAAGCGAGAAATCACCCCCCAGGGGGGATGGTCACGCCGCAATCCCTTCTCCTCCATTCTCCTCTCCGGATCTTGGGCACGCACGCACACGCGCCCAGCGTGAGTTTTAAGCCACCGGGTCCGCGACGTGAACCGCGGTCGACTACATGGGAGTCCAGCGACATAGCCATTATGCTAACTGCTGGTTCCCTTTCCCTGATTCTTTAACCACACAGACCATCATCAGAACTGCCTTCTGCTGATTGCGCAACTCCTTTGACCTTTTGTTCTTTCCATCTCACCCACATGACAAAACATTAGACCTGAATCAATTCAACAATCTACCATGTTTTCTCCTGTGACTGGGTTACTCAACCAAATTCTCCAGTTTCTTGAAAATCCTTAAATGATCTCTTTCTCAAGTCCTCCCATTTTTAAAAAGATATTTATAAAAGTTTACCATTTTTCTCAAGCTTTATTACCAACTAACTTAAAAACAAACAAACAAACAAAAAAAAACAAAAAAAACTACTAGTAGAGGCCATCGGTGGGGACTACATAAACTTGTTCGTTGTTCCTCCCTGAAGCCAATCCTTTTGTTGTTCTGGAAACTGGCCTCTCCCATCTTCTTAGTGTCTTCAACTTCTCTGCGGGCTGTCAGCCATTATGATATAACCATGCTCGTGTTATGTGCCACTTTCTAAAAATCACTCCCTTGACCTATTTTCTTTTTGTCTTCTCTGTCAAGTAACCTCTCCTCCAGCTCCACTTTCTCACATCCATTTATTCCTCAACCCACTGAACTCTGTGCCCTGTCACTCTTCACCAAATCTGCACCAAGAGGCCTTCACTGAACTCTTCATTACTAACAGGCTTTTGGCCTTTAATTTCCCTCACCTCTCCACTACACTTAACATGATTGCCCCTTCCTTCGTGTTTCTTCCCTGGTTTCCAAGCTGCTTCTCTCCAGCTTCCCCTTCTTTCAGGCTTCTCCTTCCCTCTCTGTTTTGGGGCTCATCTTAACTTGTTTTTCAGTTAGGCTTTACCTGTTTGGGGAAGCCTTCTCTATTCACTACCACCTTCCTTCTTTCAGAAAGCACCTTACCTCCATCCTCCAATAAGGCTGTTAGCTGTTCCTCATACACTTCCACAGTACCCTGAGTGTGCCCTGTGGAAAGAAGTCTGACTGCTTTTTCCTATTTTTCCAAAATCCTTTCCAGAGGGCTTAGAGGGAGTCATGCCCACAAATGTTAACAGACCATTTTGACGCATTGGTAACAGGATTCTTCCTATATTCTGTCCCTGGCATAGTATTGGAGTATCTTTGTGATGTTTATTAAGCCTCTTTATCGCTGTTAAAGTACATTCCTTTCTGATCTCAGCAACCTTCCTTTTCCAATCACCACTCTAAAAAACTAAAACCCACCACAAGCCCCCACTTCTACATGTCCCACCTTTTTGGGCCAGACCAATGGAAAACTTTTCACTGAATTTCAAACTCTCTCTCTCGCTCTCAAAATCAAATAAAAGGAACTCCTGTACCTGATCATGCCGAGAGAAAGGCATGTTTTGCCTCCTCTCCAGTCTAGGTTACTCATTCTACTTAAAAATAAACCACATTAATTATTATTTTTACAGGGTTGGTTATTTTCTGTCGACAGCCCCTATCTGGAATGTGTTGATTAACATGCAAATGTCCATCACTAAACTGTGACCTGAATTACTTAGGACCTTCTGCATCTTTCCACTTCAGTTCCTAGCATGCTATCTAATGGTACTCATTAAATATTTCTGAATGAACAAACCATGACAAAGACTCTTGGGGAGCAGTCTCCTCTCTTGGAAGCAAGACTTCATGCCTGTGGGGAAGAATCACAAGCAACCTTAAATGTTTGTGTGTGTGTATATGTATATACATATACATATATATATATATCCTCCCACCCCCGAGATTTTTGCTATAGGGCGTGTGCACTTGCCAGAGAAACAGGGAGAGACAGAAAGACAGAAAGCAAGAAATCACTCCCCAAGGGGGGATGACCATACTACAATCCCTTTTCCTCCATTTTCCTCTTGGAATTTTGGGCACACACATCCAGGGCGAGTTTTAAGCCGGCGGTCTCGAATTTGAACTGCAGTCAACTACATGGGAGTGTTACTGACCTCAAATCAGGTTCACTCGCCCAAGCTTTATAAAACCAAGCCATAGGCACATGGTGTGATGAAGGAAAGTACAGCTTTATTGCAAAGTGCAAAGCAAGGAGAGCAGGCAGTTCATGCTGAAAAGACCCGGTCTCCCTGAGATGTTCCCCACATGCGTTTTTAAGGGCAAAATTAGGGGCAGAGGTCCTAGGCGCATGATCAGTTCAGTGAATGGTTCAAGAGGGCGTGATCATTCGTGGGCATTTTTGACTGGTGAGGTCTTAGATAATCAAATTTCTCTTCAGGTGTCCGGAGGCATTTCAGCGTGGATTCTCTGAGCTCACAGCCAGCAGTTTCCAGCCTATAAAATATCTTACCATATTGAAATGAAAACCTTATATTTCCTTTAAGTGAGAGTTTTAGAGGTCAAATGACCCTTACTCATGGTCCATGTTGGTCATTATAACCAAAGTCTGAAGACTTACTCCTTACTCTGGGATCAGCAGTTAGCGTAATGGCTATGTCGCTGGACTCCTACGTAGTCGACTGTGGCTCGCGTCCCGGACCCGGTGGCTTAGAACTCACGCCAGGCTCGTGTGCGTGCGTGCCCAAGATCCCGAGAGGAGAATGGAGGAGAAGGGATTGCGGCGTGACCATCCCCCCTGGGGGGTGATTTCTCGCTTTCTGTCTCTATGTCTCTCTCTGTCTGTCTGGCGAGCGCACGTGCCCTATAGCGAAAACCTTTCCAAAAAAAAAAAGACTTACTCCTTACTCTGGGCCATTACAAGGTAAATGGACTTTATATTTCAGGAACCCTAGAAAATACATTACGGGGTCCTTGCTGGGTTTCAAGAGTCCATCAACATAACCATTACACCATCTGCTGGTCCAGAGCCATCTTTATATAGAACTCAGTGTGTGTATTTTGTATGAATATTTAAGTTATGGGAGGCTATCATCTTTCTTTGCTTAATTTCCCCTTTGCTTATAAGTTCTCATGTGTTTTCCATTGTGAGTCCCTTGTGCTCAGATAATTTTATTCTGCTTCTTCAACATCTGTACCTCATATATTCACAAAATTTTTTATTTTATTAATATTTTAATTAATTAATTAATTAATTAACTATTTTAGAGCTCAAAGGACCCTAACACAGAACTTCTTAATCTTACTCAGTGGACAGCAGGTGACATAGTAGTTGAGGTGCTGGACTCCCACATGATTGACTGTGGTTCAGGTCCCGGACCCAGTGACTTAGAACTCACACTGGGCAATGTGCATGTGTACTCAAAATCTCAGTACAAGAATTGAGAAGAATGGGGAACCAGCAGTTAGCGTAATGGCTATGTCGCTGGACTCCCACGTAGTCGACCGCGGTTCACGTCCCGGACCCGGTGGCTTAAAACTCACGCCGGGCGCGTGTGCGTGCGTGCCCAAGATCCCAAGAGGAGAATGGAGGAGAAGGGATTG